TTACCCACAGCTTAAGTGTGTGGTCTCCAATCAGCCATGAACTTTTAGATCTTAAACAGACCCGGCCAATTTCACTCACCTTTTGGCTGAAAATTGTTTTTAACCTATTTAGTTTCTCAAGGGAACCCCTCAGAGGCCCATGATGACAGTGAGCAAGAGACGGGCTGTTAGCACAGAGCCTTGGGACTCAGAGATACCGATTTGATTCCCAGCTCTTACCCACCCCCTCTTCGAGCTGGATGCAGCCAGGCTGCGAAGGGGATGGGAAACGGGGAAAAAAACAGTATTGCCTCCCAGGACCCTGCGTGCTGACCGCAGCCCTCTGAAGGCGCCGTCCCCACCGAGTGCTGAGCGCTGTGGTGAATCTGGGTCACCCCCTCCTTGTGCCACAGACACCCTCTGAAAATGGAGATAATCACCTCGACTCCCCGAGCTTTACTTTAATCTCCGTCAGCACCATTTCCACCCACAGCACATGCCCCGTAAAGGTAAGGGAATAGGTGGCCCTTGGCCGGGGCTGGCACGCACGCGCATCCCCCTGCCCACACACCCACAGCCAGGATTGCAGCCACGGCTACAGGGTAACATTTACCGGCTGTTCAATGAGTTCAGCTGGTACAAACGCTGATGAATACAGGCCATACCTACAAAGTGCTGGCACCAGGCCTGTCTGCTCCTCCACAAGCAGCTCCGTTTTGCTGTCTTTCCTCTCATGCCTGGCTACAGGCAGCGGGCCCAGGTACATGCCTGCAGCACGCTGCCTGCAGGAGCCTCTGGAGGAGAGAGGCATCGCCTTTCCTTTCCCTCCTGCTCATGACTACGGGGCTTTTCCCATGATATTAATGGGAGGAAAGCACTGCAAAAATGGAGACATGGCTGCAAAAGCATAGGAATAGCCTGAAAGGGAGGGGGGAAAGGATTTGAGACTCTCCAAGGAGGCTCTGCTCTGCGGCTCGGAGGGCATCTCCAAGCGGGCTTTCCCGGATCTGGGAAGAAGCAGGTTTCATTGCAGAGATAGAGAGGTTACAGCTCCAGCACTGACACCCCAGACCCGACATGTCCAGTGCTCATGTTCGTGGGCCCCCTGGTCGCCACTCAGCCTGGTGGCTGGGCCACACTTGCAGATTTGCCTTGGGAAGACAAGTAAACACGCTCTGAAAGCAGCTCGGAACACTGCAAAAAATAGTGGAAACATCCTGCCTGTCACTTATTTTCTTAGATTTCAGGTTGACAATGTTTGAAAATGGAAAAACTCTGATTTTTAACTTCTTTCTTTTAAATAGCACTTGGAGACATGCTCCCCAAGCACAGATCCCCAGGCCACAGCACACATGGCTAGTAAGACGCACATCTATGTGGTTGCAGTGTCCCACCACGTGCCGCCCACACCCTGCACCTCTGTAGCAGCTGGGAGCCAGCCCCGGCCCCCCACGTCCCGCCTGGGGCAGGCACCGTCCCGGCCACCCCCGCAGAACACCTCCAGGGAGATAGTGCCTGGCTGCGGCCAGGTGGTCCCTCGATCACAGAGATGAGGCTGCCTGGGGCTAAAGGCAGCCTTCGCTTCCCGCTGGAAACACACTGACCCACAGAACCCCCTCCAACACATCCACATGCATTCAGATAGCTCCTCTGGACAGGCATGTTGCACAAGTTGGGCATATCACAGCGCAGGACTGCCTCGAGATCTTACCGCTGCATCTGTGCTGACCTACATACCTCGCCCAGGGCCACTGATGAGCAAGATGGTCAGCTCAGTGTGCCACGTCAAAGCTCCTGGAATCGCCCAACGCCATCAAACAGCGCGTGGCCTTATTCACCTCGATACATCCACACGCATATACAGCTGTACAGCAGGTGTATTTGTGTGCGTAAATGTTCCTACACCTCCTAGGGAAGTACAGAGCTAGATTCAGTGCAAGGATGGGCTTCACCCTTTGCTGAGGTATGCAGCACCGGCTGCTCCACGAAACGGGATACCAGGGTAGATTATCCCCTGGTCTGCCTCAGCACAGCAATCCTGCAGTACTCGAACTGCATTACAAACAAAAATAGGTCATTCTCCTAGGGCCCTTAACTACTTCTAAAATGTACCAGCTAGTTTAACCAACATAGCTGGGACCAATCTTTGCACAAATAAGAATTATCCACATCCTTTCTAAGAGGAGAGGAAGGGCAAGAGGGATGCAAAAGGCATGTACGTGCTGACAAAGAGAGCATCTATTTTTTGCTAAAGATAAGGCAATTAATTATTGATCCAGCTGGACTTGCACATCGAACTCGCTCATCTGGAGTCAGTGTGCCTCCGACTCTCGGCTGCAAAGGCAGCAGCCTTCAGGATCACATCCCCGTGTGGAGCGCCAGGGCTGCCTGACTGGCAGCTAAGCACCGGCTGTGTCCACAGGGCAAGTGTCAAGGACAACCATGGTTTAGATTAGTTAAAGATCACATCAGCTCCAGCCTCTGCCTTCACCTGCCATCAATCTTGCAGGCACAAGAGTCTCAGCGGACAAAAATAAACTGTTTTTCTATGACTTGCGCTTAAACTAAAACCGCATTCCCTAGTCCAGGAGGTGTGGACGGGTGGTGCAGCCCATTTCTTTCAGTGGAAATGTCTTTTAATGGTGTAAGCCAGGCAGAGCTGGAGCTGAAAGCTGATCAGACAGAAGTTATGGTTGCATTTAATTTCTGAATGACTTGGGACGCATTTACCCTGGAAACTATCCTGCTCCGCAGGCCCACCCCACGTCTGGGTAGGCACTTTGTAAAGATGCGTTAGCATCTTGGGTATGGGAAAAAGGGATTTGGAGGGATAAAACTCAATGGCCTATCCTGGAAAGGCATGCTGGAAAAAAATACACTTGGAAGAGTGAAATCACCTCCTGAAGAAAGACAGGAAGGCCTCTTAGTGCTGACCCAGCCCCAGCCATTCTCAGGTCCTGCCAGGCGCCGCCTCAGCTGTTTAGAAGGACCAGGTTAATGTTCCTCTGATTATACTGCTGGGGACTATGGACATGCCTTCACATAAATTGTCTATGGCTTAGCTGAAGTTCAAGGACTGTGGATCTAAGCAACTGAGGTATATCCTCCCGGGACTTCTGCCACATCCCAACCCAGGAGCCTACAGAAAACAGCCAAGCGTACCCCAGGCTCAAAGCGGCTCATGCCATCCCCTCCTTCTTGCTCTTCATCAAGCTGCACTGACAGCACTTGGCCCTTTGCAGATGCACCAGTGCTATGTGATCTCCCTAGGTAAAACGCCAGCCGGCGAGAGCAGCCTGCTCCGCTCGGGCACAGGGCAGTTCCCCGTGCAGGGGAATGGGGCTGGACTGGGTAACACTGCTCTTCTGCCTGGGGATGCCATCTCCTGAAGACAACCTGCACCTCGCTCTCGATGAGCACACTGGCTCGTCTGGTTTTCTCCCTGCTGATACGTAAACTGTGAGGAACACCTTGGGTATATTTAGTTCTCCTTCATGACCGCACTGACGTCTGTCACCAAGGCAGTGTCACCTCAAAATCACCCAGTCCATCACATCCACCTCCCTGCTGACTTGCTGTACTGGCCCCGCATGACCACGCAATGCGTATTTAAAAAACAAACAAAAAAAACCCCACCAAAGAGTCGGGATGACTGCAGTAAAGCTTTGGAAGGGAAATTGAAAGTTGAGGTAAGCGTTTCTGTACCAAGAAGCACTCTGAGATTGAGGGATGCTTTCTGAAGGGTGCAAGCTTCACTGATTTTGATTTATAAGTCAACTGGACAAAACACTGGGGAACACGGCATCCTGCTTCGGCAAGGGAACAGTCTATATGCCCTGCTAGGCCTTTTCCCTAGTTTTCGCAGGGCCAAATCCTGCCTTACCCAACATCAGCGGGAGTGATTGATCACCTGCTCGATGGCTCTGCGCACATGGGAGAGGTCCAGGCTGCTGCTGCAGGGGGAGTTGGGTTATAGGCTAAATGTCGTTCTCGTACATTTGTCTCCTCCTCACCTCCCCGTGTCTTTAGCAGGTTTGCTCAATTCCTAAGAAAAGTGCTTTGATGTTCAGCGAGATACTGAGCTGTAGCATATGTACCTTTTATTCTCGTTAGCAAAAACAGCTGTTAGGAGTGCCAACCTGTCATCTTGTTCCTTATTTAGTAGGCGCAAATAAACAAAAACTATTTCAGAAGCAAAAATAAAGAAAATCCCTAAATGTGCTCAAGGAAGAACTTACGCTAAATGGCAGGCAACGCTTCAGCCACATAGCTAGTGTTCAGCTGCCAGAAAAAGCCAAGGAAAAAAGCCTAGGGGACATTACATAGATGGGTGCAGACGGAGGCGCTCCAGAAGCCCTGCAGATCTGTGCAAAGTATGCAGCCCCTCAGTGACCTTTGCTTGGGCACAGAGCCGCATCCTTGCAGCCACACCACTTCTGGACAGACTTGCATTCAAGCAGCCTGCAAGACAAGCGAAGCCAGCTTCCAGCTGTCCTTGCGTTTCCTCGTGGTAAGGAGCTAGCCTGCTACAGCCATAAGGACTTCTTTACACAACCAGGAAGGGTTTTTTTCTAATATCTGATGTGGTATAGTCAAAGCACAAGGTCTCGTTTGTAGGCTACACTCTCCTCCTCAAGGGAAGGTCATGAGCTGTATCACAGCCAGTGAGGGTCTAAGCTGGTAGCTGCATCCAGTTTCCCACATGCAGGGGCTGGCACTGGAAAAACTGCCCAGTCCTGCAGGGTGCAAATAAGACCTACTCCATATGCTACAGCATGCCGTGGCCAAAAAACGTTATCTTCTACCCAGTTTAAGATCCGCGGCTGGAGACCAACAGCCACAGTTTCACTGTGCCACAAGAAGGGAGGAGGAGAGATTGAGACCACGACCAGTTTCCTCAGTCTTTTCAATTTCCAGCTGATCCTTGGAAATGGGCCACAGGATGGAAAAAAAAACACCTTCTCATCCCTCCTGTCACACTGACCTACAGGAGAATTTCCTCCTCGCTTCAAATTTGAGAATATTTTTAACCCTGTTAAAAATATTGTGAGTGAGCAGGACACATCACATGAGATCATTTATGCCCCGTGAGATGTGACTGCTATGCCACCTGCTTCCTGACCCCAGCCGTGGCACTTTCCAGCGTTTTGAAGACAGACAAACGTACCCCACTGGCCAAATTATGAAACTGCAGAGTAGAATTTCTTCCAGCCCTTCCTAGTGATCAACAAAGCTCTGAAGTAGAGGAATAATAATAATAATAATAATAATAATAATAATAATAAGTGCAAACAACCAGTCATCCAACTTCTTTTCAACTCCTTTATATGCATCATTGCGCCAGACATCCCAAACTTAATTTCCAGTTTCCAGGAATCTTCCTCATTAATTTTCCAATCCTTTCCATAAGCTTATCAAACTGCATCTTAAAACCATTTATGTTTCTTGCCCTTACTAAGAAATTCAGTCCCATAACCCCTAAAGCAAATAGGAACCTAATTTCCCTCCAGAATATATTCATAATCAATTTATAACTATTTGATCTTGTAACTTAAAAACATTATCAACTCTGCTTAATATTGTCCCTCACCACCACCTCACCAAGCGCAATGAAGAGCAGGAGCAGAAAGGTACGAACCCCACAGTTTGGGAAGAAAAAGCCAACAGCAATAGTCTGGACTGCAAGAGGGGTTGGATGATTAAATGCAAGTGAAACTGGATTAGTACAAAGTGTCAGAAAAACAAAGGTTATCATATGAGTCTGCAACGTTCTGCAAGGCATTGGTTTAGCAGATCCATATGCATATATATACAGGAGAAATGTCACCCACAAGCACAATGCAGCATGGTACAGGATGGAGCACAACAACTTTCTGATAGCACAGAACCATTCGCAACAAGCAAAGAAGAAACTTGTCTGGAAAACACAGGACAAATACATGTAGGCAAGTGAACTGCCACTTGTGTGGTCAGGGCTCCTTTGGAAACTACTAAAAACTGTACTAAAGGTATTTTTTAATCCTTGGCGGTGCTGGACACCCTTCTCTTAAGATCCAATGAAAGTTATACAATCTGGGTGTATAAAACCTCAAGTAAGCTGAAAAATCAAGATTTTTCAGCTTGAACGATCTTTTATAATTTAAATTCAAATTTGATCCAAATCAAACCAAACTTGTCTTTCCTTTCGTAATTCCTCACACACCATAAATGCATAGAAGATGAACTACTTGAGAAATAGTGACACTCAATATCCTCCCAGGATCTTGCAACTGCCCAGTGGAACCAACATCCTTGCCAGCTGCACTACTGCTTCTCCTGACACTTGTTAGTTTTACCACCACCACCTGCCACATCTGTCCTGGAGCGGCACAAAAAAGTAAGCTGAAAACACTAAAAACTAGAAAATTTAGGGAACTTGTAGATCAAAGCTACGAGCAACATCTGTGCCATTTATTTAGCTGTCAGATGTGGAAAGGTACAAAGCAAGGAGCTTTGTAAGCACCAGTCTCCAGGTCTAGGACAGTCTAAGCTAGTGCTGATGCCACTGCTGGACCTTTTTTTCCAGCTATGACCATGGGGACCTGAGCTCCAGAGTAGCCATCCAGGAATCCTCCTTTGATTCGGTGAAAGCTTTTTAACCCTGTAGAAAATTTTTCACCTTCAATAAATCCAAATCTATAAATCAGTATATTCCAGCCAGAGCCTAATTTAGGCAGAGACTTTCCAGCCATCCCTATGGCACCTTGGAAAGGACTTGTGCTTTGGTGTCCCTTAGATACTCAGAAGTAACTTGCTTAACTAGTTAAACATGTAACACCAGGGTATTACATTTTTCCTGCTAATGGATGGTCACTAGGGCTTGAGAACTGCTGTGAAATCACGGTGCAAGTTTTCTCCTTTAACTCAGCTATCGGTGTCCCATTGGTTTTTTTGCCAACGGTCCTGAGTTTAATCCCCACTGATGATGCACATATCTATATGGGTATGGTGCCACGGTTTGCTGTGTATTTACATAAAAAAAAGTCTTTCTCCTTTGAAGACTGCTGCAGGATTTTCAATAACAAAACATATGTAGGAACTGCAGTTTTTGTGTCCCAGTTAAAAACAGCATTTTGGTCACCGCTGTCACCCCAGAAACCCAGTTTACACAGGACTGATGAACAGAAAGGGTAACCAGCACCTTCAGCATCAGCAGCTTCTGTTGGAGGTTTCCCACCCAGAAAAATAGTCAGGCATGATCTTGCTTAACTCCGCAACTATTTGAAGCAATGATTATTCATCATGATACAGGTGCTGGTTACCGATAATCTGCCTGAGTACTAACTTTCTATTTCTAGCTGTTGCATTTCCACGAGAAGAGCAAATGTCCAGTTCTGCCACTTCGGTGTCTGTTGCACCGCACTGGACTGTGCTGCACCGCGCTGCACGGCCGTGTGTGGCACCCTTACCTTCATAGCATGCACAACAGCCTCTGGTTTCTGACCAACAGGGACATATCCTGCTGCAGGAGAAGATGCAAGATCAGATGTCATGCGAGCTGGTCCCTGTTGAAATAAGAGAAGATGTGCTTTAATTCCCTTTGGGTGACTTAAGCAAGGAGGAAGAAAATATCCAGAAAATTTGAGCACTAGATTCTCTCAAATTCAATCCTGCAAAGACAAAAGACACCACTACCCCTTCCTCACAAGTCACTTGATTTAATGCCATTCAAGCCTACCATCACTCAGTCTAGATATACTCAGGCAGGAGATCACCCTGGTTTAAAGCTAAATTGATTCAAGAAACATTTTTTGCTCACTTAGGACAACTTTGTACGAGGACAAGATCAAACGGTTCTCATCCTTCTAGCCAAGGGAGCAATGCAAACAAGATGATTTTCCAGCATAAAGCGGTCATTTCTAAGAAGCTGCATTCATGAAAGAAACAGTTGGCATAACTTCATTGCTTTTCTGGCAACATTTTCACACAGACATCAAGTACCAATCTTCAGCTACAGAGAAAATTGTGAAGGCAACCTTAAAACAAGCAGATGTCCAAACCTAACGTTGGCTGGGTTTGTTTCCAAAATGCTGGCCAGTTCTCCTGCATGAAGGATCCCATTGGGAAGGATGCTGAAATTACACTGTACAAAAGATTTCTACTGTCCAAACAGCCTTGTAAGCTGTTAAGCACTTTTCATAGGGCTTTCCTTTTTTAAAGGCATCCGACTTGGATTTTGAGAGACACAATATCTTTATTCAGTGAGATGCACCCTGCCTGTCCCTAATATTTGTGCATTGCTTTGTAGCAGTGGGAGAAATCAACAATGAAACCATTGACAAAACTCGTATTTAGTCTTTGCATCCTTTAGGAAACACAAAGAATGATCATACTGGGGGCCTCTGAAAGCAAATTAGGATGG